ATCAATGCGCATGCCCTAGTCAAAATCTTAGACAATCCTATCAGGATCTTAATAGGATCCTAATTGAATCCGAGTGACCGAAAAGTTCTAGGATTTGATAGAATTTGTCTTTTTATTAAGATCCTATTCACCACGGTCCTAACTTTCCTAGAGAATAGGGTCCTAATAAAATCCTAGACAAATTCTATAAAATTCTAGAACTTTCCGGTCATCCGGATTCAATTAGGATCCTATTAAGATCCTGATAGGATTGTCTAGGATTTTGACTAGGATGTGATGTATATTGTGAAACTTTATTTGTTAACTGTAGCCCATTTGTAGATTTAACCACTCGCTGCTATTCAATATTGAGTAATAATCAGAAGATTTTTGTGCACCCATTTTGCTGAAAATTTTCCACAATGCATTTCATAATTTTGTAAAAAGTGCTTTTCGTAATTTCTACTAAAACAAAACGCTAAAAGCCGTTGCATCAGAGATACAGCCGTTTGTTGCATAAATTGTTCAATCGATGACTGAACTTTTTGTTCAAAATTTTATAGTAGGTAGTGGCAACATATTTAGGAACAATCGTAAAACTTTTTGACTGAGACTTACTCCATTCAAAAGTTATAGAACTTTTCGTGAAAGTGCTAAAAGTAGCTAAAACCGATAATTGTATAAAATGATAATTGGTGTTTATGTATATCTCGGTGTAAAAAGTAGATTAAGAGTTCTTATGGGTAGTCGAGATCGAGTAGTATCAATATAGCCATTGATCGAGCGTTACAAGCGTTACAGGATTGCTATGTTCTCCAATATTTCACAATATGAAAGACAAAAAATCGAAAGAGGGATCGGAAAGTGGTCGAAGTTGATGCTTCACAATATTTTTTTCATATGTTTTTATTGTTAAGATATAAACAGATATTAAATACGTTTTTTGTAGAAAATTTGATAACTGTTCTTTCGGGTTGAGGGTGCCAGTGAAAAAGGATCTAATGATCGGAAAAAAAATGAGAACTGAGAGTGACCATTACCACTGAGAGGATCATTTAAGCTGAGGCATCAGTTAGCCATAATTTTATAATAATAGAACATCATAACGTGAAGTTTACTATTTAGATAGCTTATACCGAGAGCTACACAGTCGTATGTGAATGGTATGTGAAGATCAAATACACAAAGTACCATGTATTTCTCCTGAACTATTCAGATTACAGTATTTTTCGCTTCTTTTCGGACGCTAAACGTGTTCAAAATTCGAGCCTGAATAAGTGCATTACAAATGTTGAGATACAGGACGTCAAGCCTATAAAGATTTGTTTTATCTATTTGCTCGTACTGGAAAAAATGAACACGTTCCAAACACGTTTTATTTTCTGAATGTGTTTCTCTTTTTACTTTTGATCACTAATGACTTTTTTCTTGAATGTTCTTGAAAACTTAGACTTACCTAGTCTATTTTTAAGAAATTTTTTCATACTGGTTTTAGTAGTAGCCTAAAAATGGAATCTTTTCCTATATTATACGATGCAAAAGAAATTGGAAAAATGTCGGGCATTATTTTTGCATGTTCCTGATGTCCTGGTGATTTAATTATTGTTCTGTTAGAAACAGTAAAGTCTGAACTTCAAAGAACATAGGAAACAAAATTTTTGTAATTGAGTTTGAGTGAGAAAAAGTATAAATACGAAAGATCGCCCAAAAAACTCTTGCAACTTTCGCTCTCGTCAAAAGTATTTTTTCCACTATAGCAGAGTAAGTTTGAAATTATGTAATTATAGAAAGCAGAAGTGTTTTTATTGCTCTTTTGAATCGGATGTGATAAATTACCTTTCCATCTACTTTTCAATTAGAAATTTGTGAGTTTTTCATTTGTTTTAGAAAAAGAGTTGATTAGACTTAATTAATAATTTTCATATACTAAATGAACTTTGTCCTTTTGCTTTGAAAATTAAAAAGAAAAAAAAACTTTGAAAATTTTTGAAGTTTCCAAGAAATAAAGAAAACTAACTTTTCGAAAACTTTTTATTTTCCTCAGTGACAAAAACGAAAATCGAAAATCGGGCTTTGTTATGCTCTCAAAATAGTATTAGTGCTGCATTTCAAGTCCAACCTGGTCAACATAACTGTGGACGATTTTTGCAAATTGAACCATTGGGAATTAGGATCTGAAGTTGCCAATCTTAAAAAAATGCATCATCCCAGAAGGAAAGGTCACAGAGAGCTGAGCGACGTCATATTCTACAAAGGGTACTTAACTGTATATAGTGACATATCTAATTTGAAAATAGAATGTCTCAATAGAAAATTTTTTTCTTATAGATAACATGATAGAAGAAAGTGTGCTCTTCAAAATGAGACGTCTTGCAGGATTTCTTCTCGTTTTTATAAGCTTTTTCGATTTCAAATTTTGGCGTGAGAAGGTTTTTAAAATAAAAAACCGGTTTTTTTATCCAGGATTTTTAGTATCTTCCGAATTTCTCGAGGAGGAAAGTATATTTTTCGAAAAGAAAAGTTTTGAACCTGAAACAGGGTCTAAAGTATCTGTGGTAAGATTTTGAGCTCGATTGGACCATTTTTTCGAGGAGATTTATGGATGGTAAAGAAAGTTTTGTTCTACTAGTATATAAACTCCAGTCAATGAGTCTTTATAGTAAAAATTACACTACTATCAGATGATTAACCCTTTTTGTTTTGAAGGTTACAACTATGACCACTACAATAATAGGGTTAGATTGTCAAATTTTTCAGGTCGTTTTTGATGAGCTAGAAACACAACACTTTAAGATGACAGAAAAGAATTTTTTTTTCTAAAACTTCAGCCGTCTTCTGTACTAGGTCTTTTTATATATACTAGTATTCAAAAATATCTGCTCCTTGGAATGGCGTTTGAACTGACTCTATAACATCAATAATACATACATAATCTATATATCAAAAACAAAGTTCACGATTTATTCTTCTATATCTCTGTAATTTTTTCCTTTTTCTTATATGAATTTTGCTGTGTTAATTTGTCATGTATTTTTTGGTTTCTTGGACACTACAAAGGTTACCCACGCTACCCAAAATCAGCATGTATTTTTTCTTTTCTCTCGTTACTTTATATGAGAAATCGCTCTATCGTCAATATTGACTGTATTCGTTAAAAAAACAGAAAAAAAGATGGCATTTACCAATATTTGTCCCAAAGAACACAAAAAAAAAAATCGAACGTTAATTTGAGCAGTCGATGAGGATATTTTTTCCTGTACATATTCTGTATCCTTTCTCTTTTTAGCATAAATATTTTGTACAAGTTATAAAGTAATCATCTACATTGTTCCATATTAAAAGAGAAAAATAATAATAATTATTTTTTGGTTTATTGTTCGACTGCCAAAAATTCTGTAGAGGATAATCGTTCCATTTCAGCAATTGAATCGATTTATGTGACCTCATTATTTTAAATGTGTTTTCATGGATAAATTACATATTAAGAACGGAATATTCATTTCATTTGTCTAAGATAATCCTGTTTACCGTCCTAATCGTTAACAAAGAAAGAAATATAATCAAACTATAATCACTCTTATTTAACAATACAAAGTGAAACTTTCTTTAATATTCGTTGAACTTACTTGATTCGTTCGCTTTTTAACTTAAATCACAGTCATTCGTGTCTTGAGTCTTTCATTTATATTCAAAAATATTTTTGTCATATAATATTCTGATTTTTTTTACTATTTAAATTAAAAAATACTTGAAAAAGAGACAATTAGAAAATTGGACATTATTTTAAATTTAGATTATTCAAATTTGTTTGTTGTACCCCATGCATTGTTCATCATTTTTGTTTTTGTTCAATGGGCTCATTGTTTTCTCGTCGTTTAGTTCTATTATTTATTTTCACTTGGTTTCTATTATGTTTTAAAGTTTGGAATATTCTTATTATTCAACAATTTCGAGACACACATTCAAATGGGAGTTATTTAATAGCAACTAAAAATTGTCACGAAAATAATAGACGTCAAGCGATCTTACCGGACATATTTCAAAGATACATTTGTTCGACAGATAAAACAACAGCAATGATTCCTACTCGAAATCCATCACATATTAACAATATTACGCAAACAATAGTGGAAAAATTAAAAAATTATCCAAATTTATACAGATATACTCAATCACCTTATGATATCAATGTCACAGCTTTGATCATTTGGACAAAACAAAAGCATCAAAAATATCTTGTCTATTCTTGTAGATTTATGTGTGGAGGTAGGAAACAAAATTGTATTTTTTGAAAATATTTGATTTTTAGTTTATGATTGATTTGTAGACTTTGGAGTATACGCCATTTGATGGATACACACAGTCTTCACTTGTCTGATTCATAAAGAGATTCTAGAAGATCTTCTAGAGCCTAATCTGCAGAATTTTTCGGTTTTATTTCGCATTTTTCTCAAAATGACTTTTTCTGAGCGATATATTTTTCTGGTCTCACGGGTTCGAACAGAAAGAGTTGACCGATAAGAGCAAAAATTTTAACACAGCTACGATTTTCCTAAAACGAGGACAAATTTTTTGATTTTTAAAAATATAATAATCTCCTTCGTGGGGTAAAAAACGGTTTTAGGAACGTGGTCTATGGAAAACCGTGTTATTTTTGCATTTAACTATTTCGTATTTAATATGAAATTTTGAAAACTAAAAAAACTTGTCCTATTTTTCGATGAGTTGTGTCTATGGTAAAGTTTTCGGCCAACTCCTTGCACTTGTAACCATAGCGCTAGGATCGCCGATTGTGCCTCATGCGACAACTATTACCGATATAGGGTACTGTTGAATGGCAGTTTCAACAGATTGCGCGTCATAGATTGAAATTTGGAATATGTAGTGCTTATTGAGCTGTTTCTAAAGACATTTCTTGAGCAAGAAAGGAAAATTCTTGGACCAAGGGATCTAATTTTATATTTTTAAGAACAAGAAATTAAATATCTTGCATTCCTTGAATTAAGATCTTACCTTACGAAATGCAAGAACTTGCGCATTTCGTTGGACACGATCATGGTGAGAAAATAAGAATTTTGTTATTAGGGATATATAATCGACTGTCTTAAGCACAACTATTTTAAAATACTTTGCCCTTCAAAAGAATCTTTTTTTGGCGTTCACTCATAAATACTTCTGATATGTTAATTGTTTTAATCCCGTAAAAATTGCAGAATGTATCTCCTATACTAAAATTTCAATAAAAATAGTAGAAATGATGCTGGATTTTGAAAGAAAATATTTTCGACAGAATTGATCCCGGAATAAACTAATTTGTATATTTATTGTGCAGAATTAATCTCGGAAAACTTTTTTCTTTCTGTGAACGACAGAATTGATCGCAGTTGGTGTGTGTAGCGGCTACATAAGATCCCCTTCCCCAAAGCTCTTCGCTGATTTCTATATACATTTTTAACACTCTTATGTTTTATTATAAATAAACACAGTCTCCAATACTTCAATCTTTGTTTAGTCTTTCGATAACGCTAATTTAACTTTCTTCGGTCGACCTCATCCTTTACGTTTTCCTATTTGTTGCGGTATCGCTCGAATATCTCACAACATCATTAAACCAATGGCATGAACACAAGCATCTATGTCCTCAACGCCGTCTTTACATTCGTACCACACGTCAACCGGGATTAATTCTGCAAAATAAATATAAAAATTAGTTTATTCCGGGATCAATTCTTGTCGAAAATTTTTTTTTTCAAAATCCGGAAGCATTTCTACTATTTTTATCGAAATTCTAGTATACAGGATCCATTCTGCATTTTTATGTGATGTTTTCCACTTTTTTCCTATGTTAAACATACAGTGGACTATTCAAATCTGTCAAATAAAAACTCAAATGTTTATGGTCTGAAAAAATCGGAGATGATGGGTCCAGTTTTAAAAATTGTAACGAGATGCAAATAATATATCACAGAATGACACCAAGATGCTCACACAAGACTTATTTTCAAAAAAAACATCATTATTTCTATGCGCACGAACGTATAGGAATAGACGCTCTTCATCTTTTGTTTAATTTAGGTTGGGGTGATCGTACACGAAAGATAGTTGGCTCATTTTTATTGTCCGTTGTTCTAAATCGCACTTTTATTATCGATATGACTTGGCCCTGTTCTATCACTCATATTTTAACATCTAATTTTATTCAATGGAACAATCGTATTTTGTTGAATAAAAACTATTCCTCTATCAATATTACAACGTTAACATCTCAAGATTATGATAAACTCATGGCATATGACAAACTCTATGATGTACTCTACATTCAAACATCGAATATTGCCTATTTTAACCTAATTATTCAACAATCACATCTTTATTCGTCACTGAAAACACGATTTAACTTAAAACATAAACATATCCATATACAAACACTCTATCAACTATTATATGATCTATTAATTCAATTAAAACCCAATATCAAAATAAAACTTAATCAATTATTAAAACAGATCAAACCAAACACAACACTTCTCTGTGGTCAATTGAGAATCGGTCGAAATCCAACAAATCCAAAAGATGTCGTATTTCCAAAGCGTGAAAAAATGAACGTTACTGTCATGGATTTTCTTGTAAAACAATCAAAAATTACACAAAGTAAAGTATTTATTACAACTGATTCAAACGATGTTCAATATTTAGCTCGTCAAACATTCAAACGTTCATTACTTGAAATTAACGGCACCATAGCTCATATTGATAGAGACTGGAATTATTTAGGTTGTGCAAGTTTAGAAAAGACAATTGTAGAATTTCATATGCTAAGCTATTGTCATACAGCTGTGATATCAAAAAGTTCATTTGGTTATTTAGCTGTGATGAGAAGAAGTCAGCCATATAAACAACTTTATCTCTATTGTGATGGTATTAAAAAAATTAATAATGCAACCGATTACGATAAATTTGTATATTCAACATGTTGACAAATCTTAATTATTATTGTTACAATTGAACAAAAACTCATACAAAATTACTGGAATGAAATGAAAAGATCATAATTCAAGTTTTATTGTCAACTCTTGATTCTCGATTAATTGTTGTATTTTCTCTACAAATTTCCAGTAAGAAATTCTCATACAGTCTGCGAAAGTTGATAACTAATTGAATGAGTTTAACCAATATGGCGAATGGAAAAAAATCAATTATCTCTTAGTCATAAAATTTTTTTGGTATTTAGATCATATTAAGTGATTCTTGTACAAAGAATTACATCTCCGAAAGTAATCAGCATATAGGAAAATTGTCTTTTATATCTTACATCTTGGCTTTCTTAGTCCAATTATCTGGCGAAATAATTGAAATGTTTTGTGATTGCTTTTTATTGAGATAAATCGAATTATTGTATCTGTGTGCGATGATGATACGAAGACAATCATTGGCTCATTTAATCTCATACATGAACATTTTTCACCATAAAATTTTAATTGTGTTTGACGTTTTGATGTTGGTGTTTTAAAATACCGATGTTTTTTCTTATCAAATATCAAATATTTGGATACTTGATCAAATTTTTTCAAACGCGAACGAAAAACAATAGATGAACGGCAGTAATCGGTTATTAAATCCTGAACATTCACCATCTCAGAACACATTGAACAAAAATCATTTTGAATTCGCGGTAAACGAGTGGTGGTTGTAGAAGCTGTTGTCATAGTTGTTGTCGTAGAATCAAATGGCATATCCATCTAAAACATAAAAACGAGTCTTACTCAAACTTCGTTGAACTCTGCATTAGGCTAGCACTCTGATTAAGGCCATAGTTAATGACTAGTAATGCGATGGGTGACCATTGTCAGAAGCTTGTCACTTGTAGAGAACATATCGGACTATTGAAACTGAAATTTGTCAGTGCTAACATACGGTGCAAAGTCTTCGAACAGTGTCGAACCTCATTTTTCAGCAAGTAGAATGGTTTTGAATTTTTTATTTTATTTGAAAGAACAAAGTCTAGAGAACAAAAGAGACCAAAAAAGTTTAAACTCGAGATTCGGCCTCTGGCGATAAAATTCAGATACGAAACAACACTGAAAATATCTTCTCAACCTGATTTTTCAATACTTTTCGCTGCTCGTTTTGTATGTCGGAGTTTGAATTAAACATAAGCACAAATAGAACTTTGCAAGGCCGATCGAATGGTTTATTTAAAGTTCAGTTTTAGTTAGATTTTTGATGCAAAAATTCTATTTTTAGAAATGCTTCTTTAGCTGGAATATCGATCTGGTAGAAGGTGCAAAACTCAGAAAAACAGTTCGTTTACAACAGCATCAAAAAGTAAATGTAAAGATTTCGAAAGATAAGCCATGAATAGAATTTATTACGATCTATCCGACGCTTATTTCGTTTATGTCTAATAGGTTTAGGAATGGTATTATTCATGGAATAAACTTTTTTCAGTGTTGTAGAAATTATTTACAGTTACGCATATTTCTTCACAGTATAGCGAAAAGGAGGTAGATAACTTGGTGGAAAAGAGAGCAGGACCATAAGGCTGATCAAGAGGATTAGAGGAAAGCAACTTGGTGAAATTCACTTAGTGTGAGACCTCAAGCACCTTCTGCTTTCACATACTTCACTTTTCCATTGTTGAAATAGTGTAAATGTGAAATCCTTCTCCTAGCAGAGTTTCAGGTCATTCAGTGTGTGACCAGTTTACATAACGATAGAGATGCACAAGACCTCGAAATTCGACTATGTTCGAACTTTCGTAGAAGTTCTTCAATTTTGGAACTGAACCTATAGATAAAAGAATGAGAAGAAATTCAATAATGACTTTCATTCGAGCCTCCCAGTCACTAATTCGGAGAATAAAAAGTGCTTTTAAGGCTACTTTACTTCGAGCAAAATGAAAGATCTCTGCAGACAAGAGTAGAAAACAGCTGCTCGAGACCTAGAATTAAGACGCAAGCAAGAAACAGAGTACATTTTGCCAGTAAGCTATCGATGCTCGAGACATGTACTGATGATACAGTTCATCTTTCGAGCATCTTTAGCTCAACCTGTTCTATGCCTGCTTCTTAATTCTAGGTACCCACGCTCGAATCATCGTCACAGCACAGTAAGTTGCTTCAGTTTCTATCTTTCCTAACTTGTGAACCTTGACTTTAAGATAGCCGTGGGTGGCTATGTGGGAGCATGGAGACTCTCCGTACACGTCAGCTTGATTTTAAATTTAATTTTGAATTTTTTTCAGATTTTAAAACTTAACGCGTTTAGCAGAATGTTTTTTGTCACATTTCGGACGTTCGAACGCGTTTGAACGTCCGGGATGTGACAAAAAACATCCTGCTAAACGCGTGAGTTTCTGTGAAAAGTCAAACGCACTCTAACGCGGTTTTTTCGCAGAAAAGTTTGCCTGGATATGCTTTGAGTCATTTCTTATTATCTTGAAATTGTTAAGAATCGCCCCGACTTGTGAAACGTCTCATTTTTGTAGAAAAATGTTTGATCTAACACACTCAAACAAAAAGTTACGGGATGAAAGAGCGAAGTTTTTTTAACGAATTGCTGAAAAAGACACGAACAGTCTTTTATGATTGATGACCAGTTATCATGCACAATTATGCTACCCTAGATTGCTCATATTTGTGTCGCAATTAAGTTTAAAATTTTTTAATTCCAACAAATACATAGAGCAAATAAGACGTTTCGCAGCTCATACCGGTTCTTAATAGCTGCGCTATAAGAATATTTCTAGACACTGTGATGCCAGTTATATAATTTATGCATACCTAGTCGCCCTCCTACATCAGTCACAGTCAGAGATTGGCGAGTCACCGCTTTTTCGAGTCTCAGTCGAGTCCGAGTCAGGAGGCTTCGAGTCCAAGTCCGAGTCGCACCAAAAATTGACTCGACTCACCTCGAGTCATTTTCTAGGAGTAAACGTCTTCCTGATTCGTTTTTCCAAGAAAAAGCTTGCAGCACTATTTTTTATCTCTTGTTTGACTTGTCCTTTTCTATATCTTCAATCTTTTCATGTGACGCGATGTTGTACTTAGAATATTCTCAAATCTGTCCCTCTGTTCTGTGTATATCACAAATATAATAAACACCATCATAATAATCAAAGCTGCACATGACTGACTTGAAAGTGACTCGAGTCACATTAGCTGGTTTATCCAGTCTTTCGCCTCAAGCCCGATTTCGAGTTAGAATCATAGGAAAATGCGACTCGAGCCGACTCTGACTCGCCCATCTCTGGTCACAGTAGGTACAAGGAGGAGTATTCTTCCTTCTTCCAGATTTGGTCCACTATGTTAGATCATACAGAAACAATATCTTTTTCATTCTCCGTCCAACGACTGTTTCATCTTCGACATGGTAATAAATGTTTACGTGTTTCAATTTGTTCATCATTATCAAATGAGATCGAAATTGGTTGTTGTTGTTGTTGCTGTTGTTGAGGATTGATTAAACATACCTATATGAACGATAAAAAAACAACAAATAAGACTTCAGTTGTGCTCACACGCATTTTCATCTCAAAATTCAACTTACCGGTGCCAGTATTGAACAGAGTAATAATCGAGAATTTTGATGACAATTTAAGTTAATCAGCGACTGCCATAAATTCATTTCATTCAATATTTCATCAATTTTCTCATGATTTAACATGTTAGGTAAATACATTTGCGTGTAACCGATACCTGAGCATAATGTAAAATTTTTAGGAATTTCAATACAATGATCAACAAATTTTGTTGGTTCATCAAAATCAAAACTGTTTATTGTAGATACTAACAACATGAAATAAAAGTAAACATAATACATTTTGATAAATTCAACAGAATATAAAACAAAATATGAAGAAATAAATGATCGATTCTATTCTTCATATATATTTTTTTCTCATCTGTTTTTGCTACACATAGATAGGTGTGTGATGTTCAATTAACAAATTAACAATACTACACTTTGATCTTTTAAACTAACATAGAACAATTCTTATTAACTGTGATACATAATTTGTACGTATCCACTTTGAAATGATATCATAGTGTTGATTAAAACTGATAGATATGGAACGAAATCGAAGAACATATATTGTTTTTTTTCCATTTATTTGATTCACAGTAGGATGTATGAATGAACAAAGTGTTTAATTGAGGAAATTATACGATTAAATGGAAGAAGAAAGACAAACATACCGCTTTTTTCTAACGATGATCAATCAAGCACCAATTATAGAGAAGAGATAAACATCATCATTGTGCTTGTTATTTTTTTCGATTCATCTATGCGGTCAAGTTAAAAGTAATATGTATATTTTCTGATCAATATGTGCGAACTACATGTGTTACACAGTGTCTTGGAGTAATTATGGTCAGGTCCTCAAAATTTTGTCGTATTTTTGCTATAGATCGCTCTATTTTTATCCGGGAAAAGCGATATTTTTACAGGTAAATAGCGGTGACTTCTGGCTATGGATTCATGTAAACATTGTCGAAATTCATTAGCGTTAATTAGTACTAATCGATTTCCAGAGAGCACTTTTCGATTGACCATAATTATCCGGGTAATTATCGTCAGTCAACGTGTACTGTTGGGGTAATTACGGTTAATACAACCAAAATGGCTCTGATAATCTTAAACCACTTAGTTTCAACGTGGTATTTCAAGAAAAATAGTTAAAATTATATCATCTTGTAGAGAATTCAAGCTTTCTCACCTGTATGAATTGTATGCTATTTGGGCTTACCGTTAATTAATTAATTAGAAACTACGAGAATGTGTGTTTTTCAAAAAAAAGTCACTTAGGGTAATTATGTTTAGTCCGCGTAATTTGCACAGAAAAGTCAGAATTTTAATGCCAAATTATCACAGCTATTTTGGCTGTATTGACCGATTAGTACTAATTAACGCTAATGAATTTCGACAATGTTTACATGAATCCATAGCCAGAAGTCACCGCTATTTACCTGTAAAAATATCGCTTTTCCCGGATAAAAATAGAGCGAACTATAGCAAAAGTACGACAAAATTTTGAGAACCTGATCAGGATCACTCCAAGGCACACTATATTCATTCCTTCAGAGAAAATTATTTTATTTATTTATCATACAGAATCTTTCATGCAGTATAAATAGTTTAATTTTAGAATCTCTTTATCTTTATGATCGTGTATTTTTACCCTGCTCTAAATCAAAAAGTATTCATTTAAATTTATAAATTGTTTAACGAAAACGCTATCGTTAGAGTGATTTATTAAAATACTTTTTTTAAAAATATTTGAGTTTGAAAAATCACTGATAAACTGCATTATTTAACTATCATTATGCTATTTAAATACCATTTGTTTCTAGTTGTTTGTACATTTGAGTTTGCTTTATTGGATCAAAATGAGATTGAATTGGTGTTTGATGTTGTTGAGATGATGATGACATTACCATCAATTCTTGTGAAAACCTATTGCCTATATTTTGATGACCATTTAACTGATTATTATTCATGTTGGTACCCGTTAAACAACGGGCACTAGTTTTTTTCATTAATTCCATTATATTATTGTGATTTTCTTTTATTTTATTCAATTGATTACATAATATTTGTTCTAAAATGCCTTGGTCAGAACTATTGAATGATAAATCATATTGACGATGTGGTTGATAACACGATGGATAAGATGATGGTAAGATAAATTGTTGTTGATGACACAATGGATGACTATTCAATGAAATAGCGGGTGGTGAAGGCTCTATAACTTTTTTTGTTTCATAAATGTACGATTCTGTTTCATCACATACAGAGGACGATTTAACTGAGGATGATTTAACTGAGGATGGTTGAACTATCTCTGGCTTTATATTTTGTGTTAATGCTGAGGGTTGAACACAATATTCGCCAACAAATTCTTCATCAACAGCTGCTTCTGTCGTTTTTTTGTCTAATGACAATAAATTTTGAACTGACATTAGTGTCAGACCATTACCCATATCTTTTAATGTTTGTTCATGCTCTTCATCTTTTAAAAAACAATAAATGAAAATGAAGTTGAATTTTAATTGTAATATAGAACTTACTCATTGCATAAGCGAATAAATTATTAAATTGTATCGAATAGACAACTGTTGGCAAATAATTGAAATCAATCATAATTTTCAATGGTTGATTGTACTTTTTAAACTAAAAAATTCAACAATTTTTAAGCACACTATACTTTCCTTAAATTAAATAAAAAAAAACAAATAAGATTTAGTAACAGTACGAATCATTAACATAAGAAAATTCATGCAAAACGAATTCTCCTTTGTATCAATACAATATCTGATATATTTGTTTCAAAGTATGCTAAATTAGTTCAAAGACGGAAAGATTCTTTATCAAAATGACATACTAATTTTGACATGCTAGTAGCCAATGGATTTGCATTTGATCTCCACTGTCTCCCGTTTCCAAATGTCATGAAACATTTATATGGTTGAATTTTCCATCGAAGATCATGACGATGATATTGATCAGTTTTAGTTAAGTTTTCTTTGAACCATTTCATTAATAATTGAGTAAAATCAATCTCAAATGAGATAAAATATTCGTCATTTATAGAATTACATAGATAAGAATATTTACTCACAATAATGTATGCTGGTTTTGTTTCATTAAATGTATCATATAATGAATAGAATGCCTTTAGTAATTCACATCGAACAAATGGATCTGATACATTTAACAACATCACAACGTCACCTCAAAATAAAAATATTGATTATTATCATTAAAATGAATAAAATGTGGAGAATTTAACAAACCATGAATAAATCGACTTCTATTTGCACCAAAACAGTATCGTTTTGAATAAATTAATTTTGACATAATTAACCAATCATTGGCATTTGTTAACACAGGTATCAATGATGCTAAAGCTGCAGCAGATGTTATCAACACATTCCTGAAAATATACGAATTTTATAGATCATCGTTTACGATGTCAAATTGTTATTATATATGTACTTTGCAAAACAATGACTCGTTTTTGTATGGATACCAATTCGTTCGCGATCTGATTCATCAATAAATAAAATTGTATTCTCGGGTAAAGTCAATTCTCGTTTATATATTGGTTTTTGATTTAAAAGCACAACATTTTTTGTCGAATGATTTTCATTCCTTACTCTTTTCTTTTCTGGAAGCCTAGATTTTGATACCTGTTTGTCTTCATTATTTTTAAATGATAATGTCTCTTTCAAAATTGATGGTGTTTTTAAAAAATCATGTAATTCGACCAGTTTTAACGGATACGAATCCATATATAAGCTGTAATCAACTCCGAGTTTACTCAACTTCTTTCTTTCTTTTTTCGAACTATATTGGGTTTAGAATACGGTATAAGTGTCCATGGACAGCGGCAAAAAAAACCTAACCGTGCATGAACATTTGCTTATTCTCTTTTAATAGGTTTTTTATCTTATATGCATACTTCTTATGTTATACAAAAATGATAAATGATCAATTGCCTTCAAAGACGAAATGATATTCGCCTGTGAATTTAACGCATCCTATCGGATCAGTGTTACTTAAGTTACTCTTAGTTGTTAAAATCTGACTGATCCGCGACTAATCTCTAGTGAATGTACTTGTGCAAGTAATGAGGACAGTACTTGTGCACTTTTCCAAGTAAATTTACTTGTCAAATTTACGTGAGAAAGTATTTGACAAGTAAAATGTAAGTACTTGGCTGACATAATGCAAGTAAATTTACTTCAAAAGCTTCAGTCAAATACTTATTCCATTTATCTTCATTTTGTATTTTATACGTATTCTGCAGCCATACTCTACTTTTGTAGAGCAAATACATGCACGACTACTAAGTTTAAGTAGAAATATATAAGTTTATTTTATAAGTGTATAACGATTGATACTTTGGGGTTTATCTACAAGCGAAAAACGAACTTTCATCACATGTGACGAAAGTGTATAGCATTTTTGGGAGAGTACCACCCTACACTTTTCCAGGTCAAACCATCTTACTGTAGGATCCTACAAGATCGTGCGAGATCCTACTTTAGGATCCTGTAGGATTCTGTAAGATCCTACGAAGATCTTGTAGGGCTTTTTAGGAAAACTTCAAAGCCAAAACATCCTAGTGTAAGATTCTTATAGGATCCTGTAGTCAGAGCTTGTAGAATCTTGCAAGATCCTACAGAATTCTATTGTAGGATTGCAGTAGGATTTGATCTGATTTTCTGCTGGCTTATCCTACTAGGTTTATTGTTTTTATTTGTCCAATTATTCTCTAATCCCAGCTAGTCAGAATCAGGCGATTCTGAGCTGAGATAAGTCCACATTGTAAGAAATAAAGTGGGTCACCATCAAAATAAATCCCAAACTTTTACGTCTTACGGAGAACGGACAAGTCGTTGGAAGTTTTCACAAAAGGTAGTTAACAGTCACTGTTTACTGTAAATTTTTGGTTGTTATAATGGCATAAAACAGGCATTTAACTCTACATCCTAAAATGTAAAATAACTGTCACAGTTAAATGGCTATTAACCAGTCATTCTTCAATTGCAAAATATATAGCGACATTTAAAAGCGACATTTAAAATTCACATTTAAAATGGGTATTTCATTCACCCTTTTATTTTGCAATCGTGACTGGTATATGATATATATATACATGTATCACAATTTGGAAATTTGGAAACGAGCTGGGCAACTCAACTCCGCAGTTGATTTCTTTTTTTTGCGGATTTGGAGTTTGCTTTTTAAACGACTGGAGTTGAGTTAATGACAGATTTAGTCAACTCCAACTCCGGTTAAAAATTTCTTCAACTCCGACTACATCAGCTTCTGTAGAGCGTGTTTTTCTCACAATAAGGTTTTTTGTTCGATCACATCGTAGTAGTACGACGAAGAATATGCTTTCAAAATTAACATTGTTGAAATGTAACTTTGATTTATTACAATGATTTTTTTTGTCCATATTATTATAAAAAGAAAACATGACCGTTATACGCACGAAGTAAAAAGCAGGAAGGAGTTGAGTTGAAACGGAGTTTGAGTTGAGTCCCTCGAAGCTGAAGTTTAGATTTCTTAGCGCAGTTGGAGTTGTACCTAGCCAGAGTTGCCCAGCTCTGATTCGGAGGAAATTTGCAAATTTTTCTCTTCCTTTCTCGATTGTATGAGTCATCGAACCTTGTCTCGTGGAAATCGCTGCTGATTCTGGTTTTGGTGTCGTTGATGGCACCGTGGATCCAATGAACAAAAAATTTTCGAAATTACTATATTTGGGGTGCTGATTAATCAAAGAAGCAAAATTACACTGTTTTCGACATCATGGGTACTATGCTACAGTTGGACTACTCCAGTTCCCACTCCTCTTTGGACTAATGAACTTTCCGCTATAGCCTTGATTTCAACGCAGCCGTTTCATGCAACGCGTGACGAAAGTGCCGTGCCATCTGTCTAAAAAGCCAGACACTTGTTACAACCGAAAACGAACTTTCGTCACAAAAGAAGTTAACTTTCGCAACCACTATGTAAGCATAGCTAAATTTTCGTCACATGCCGAAAGAATTTGTGTCCCTGAAAACTGAACGTTCGTCATGCGATGAAAGTTCCGCGTTACCTGATGATGAAAGGGTACGGTGACCAAAGTGCTGTGAAACCTTGACAAGTGCATAACTTGTTGCGTGACTTCTCAGGTGCTCATCAAATAATCAAGTACTTGTACCGAGTGCATTCACTAGGGTACTTAGACAAATTGACCCTTTTTCTAATACAGACCTGTTACAGTTAGGAATTATTTAACGTACCGGAATCTATTCCTTAAACTTCTACATTCCTATAGTGGTCGCACAATTACGGGTCTATGAATTAGATGGCGCTGGTATTTATAGAAAAGGGAAAACTTTCTTTGTGCTAATATACGTGTCCAAAGATTATTCAAAATGTAGGTGTGTCTTTAGATTGATCCTGATCAAAAAATCGATACGAACATCGTTGTAGCGTTTATTGCCACAAACGCTAATGTCTGAAATTTGAGCCAATAAAATGTACTTAACTTGCTTAGCTGCCTCAGACTAGTCTATATTTTTACGATTTCTTTGAGCGTAATAGTGATGATTATATCTATCTTGTACGTTTTTCATGCATGTATGGCAAGAGTAAGAGAAGTGATTGATATATGTATACTCAAGCATGTTGCACGCAGCGTTTATAATGAAAAATTTTTGCTAGGTGTAGATGTACATTCAGTCAAAGTAGATGTTTTTTTCAGTCAAACACATTCAAGTGCATGTACACCCGCTGTTTTTTTCACGAAGTGTGTACATACTCATAATGAGTATGATGCGTAAACCGTTTTTTAGCGGAGTACATTTTTTAATGCAATTGTTGAATAATCTAACTGTTGCTGTTGAGCAGAAATCATGGAAGAATATGCTGTTGCTGTATTTGTCAATCTTGTCAGAAATTGGTTGATGCTTTCAGATTTTTTAGGCACTGATGCGGTTTTTTACTCATGTCTTTGCTTATCTGAAAGACAGGTGCAGTGAGAGTAGTCAAAAAAACTATTCTCCCTTTCTTTGCTTTATTCATTTAGCCTTCAAATTCACACTTGTCTCTCTCATTCTTCCTTACCCTAGACATCTGTATCACATCATATCGTATGAACGAGTGAGTCGCAGTTCCACTGTTTCTGCCTGTCTTCTTTTGATATATTATAACGAAGATAAATGAGCCATCTATCAACAGATAAATATCATTTTCTCTAAAAATTGACTAAAATTCTTCGGAAAAGAGTAAAGTTTGTTTTTCTCAACAAAGTGTACTTCAAATTTTCAAAGTGTACGTATATTTTGTTCCGTTATATATACTTCAGGCATTAGGAATGCCAGTCACGCATACGTCACTTGATAGTTTGTGACATAAATTTGCCCTACCCGTTACGCTACATATATTGTTCGCCAACCAGTATAGATAGCAACAAGAATGAATTGCTTGCTAGTACTATATGTGAAGAAAATTTCAAGGACTATGGAACTGTATGTTTAAAGTTGTAACTGAAAGAAACATGAAGTCTATTCAACTGTATTACGTGTGATCTTAGTATGAGAGTAAATTGGTCAATTATTGACGTTGAAATAAACGGATTTAAGCAGCGGCAAATATGCGAAACTGCTCAGAATCAAATTAGAGAGCTTTTTACTACTTGTGGAACCGTTCTGGAGAAAAACAGATAGTGTGCTGATTATCGATCTTATGCGGGGATACGCATGAATTGTATTATCTAAACAATATAATATAGTTTTATACAAATACGTATTACCCGTAATTTGGCGCAATAAGAACGTGAATACAATCGTATACATTACTTTCACCCATTCGTCGGTTATAACCAATAAAAAGTTATCTCATGGAAAAAACGTCAAGTTAATATATATACAGGAGAACCAGAAACATCGACATTCGATTCGATTTGGCTTTTTGTCGAATCGAATCGAACCAAATTTGAGTTTTGCGAAGAAACTATTTTTTTTTGTTTGGGGTATAATGCATGTTCGAAAACTCTAGTCACATAAATAACATGTTCTGCTCAAGTGTTCTAACTCGAGACAGTATATTTTAAACAAATGTTTGAAAGCAAAAGAGAAGCAAGCTTTAATTTGCATTGAAATGGGTCGAATGGAATTGAACCATTTAGGATTCTTAAATGTGGTCCCGAATCGAATCGAATCAGTTTTTTGATTTAATCTCGTTTATTGATGTAAGAGTAGAAAATCCAAAAAAGTACAACCCACAAAAGCGGATCGAGGATCCATACATATATGATCACCGTAAAAAAAACAAGAAGAAAACAAACACTTGACTGTTACAGATTCGCTAATCCATACTAAAATAGTACGAGAGGAAAAATGAGAGAAGAAGCGAGAAAAATAAAATATTATGAATAAGTATATAAGTAAGCATAAAATGTGATAGTTGTGAGGTATGTTGCTGCTGCAGACGTGTAAGGCGACAAAAGTGAATCAGACAGAAGTAGAGAATCGTCCTGTATCAGCAATGTAGTTTACGACTAACTCGACAATAATTCCAACTGTTACTTTGTCAAACAGTACTCATGATAGAAGTGAATCAAGATCCGGTTTAACATCTGGAATCCTGTTAGAGAACTCTGTCATTAGATTATTTCTCTCCTTGTTGTAATTGGAACACTCAAAAAATAATGATAAACAGTCTCTTTTATTAAACTATTACACTCACAAGATGAATCACGCACGAGACCTTTATCGAATAAGTCACTATTCAATTGAGAAAAGCCGACTCTAAGGCGACAGTAGTGAATATCAATATCCCTTCGACTGATTAAAGGTAATTTTGAATTTAATTTTGCTGGTATCAACCGATTTTTAAATTTATCTAAATTAAATGTAAGTCTTGTCTTAGCTCATTGTACTCACGAGATGCTCGAAATATTAACGATTCATAAACTATATTTAATCGGCAACGTTGAATCGGAACAAGCCGTCTATCTCGACTACGTAATGAGTATGTAAGAGATGTAGGCGGTGATGAGGGTAACAAACTCTTTAGAACAGATGATGTTTTCCCAGTAATGATTTTCTGAAATAGAGTTAATCTATCTCTTTTGAAAATCTCTCTTATTGACTCTCATTCTAAGTCTTTCAAGACCCCTTCAGCAGAACTAACATCATTGCTCCGGAAACAGCGCGAGCTGCCTTATAGTGAGCAGACTCTAAGCGATCCATATTCCTCACCATCGTATTACCGTAGATAGCAGAACTATAATTAAACTGATTCAACCCGTAAGCCATGTAGACTATATCCAGAGCTTGACGAGCCAGCACACGTGAACAAAGGTTCAGTAAGCCAGTCAAACGATTTGTTTTATGTAGGATATAATTTACATGGGCTTCTTCAATACTAAGCCAAGATGTTTATGTTTAGTAACGTAGGATATGGGGAGTGTTATTGCTGACAACAGGCAGTGTAGCAGTCTGAAGTCTTTTATGTGTAGAGAATAGCAGTATTTTCTGATTCGTTTCGGGCTCTGATATACAGCATCTCGTTTTTTCGTGATGTTACATTTTTACTATGACTTTTAACATTCCCTTACTTTTTTACAGTATAAAAAATCGAGAAAAACGCGTACTAGTGTCGCGGGTAGAGCGTGGCAAAGTCTTGAGACTGTTTAGATAATGAGAACTGACAGTTCACTATTTAACATACTTACGCCTCTAATACATTCTCAAATCACTCTGAACTAAGTAACAGTATTTCAAATATGTTCGAGTTTCTATTTGTACAAAATTTGTTTTTTGTTTCTGGACAGTTTAAATTGTAGAATATTACAATAGAGCTTATTGCGCTTGTATTCTGAAGAATAAAGCTTATATTTGTATATGAAATCTTATATTTATGAATAAAACCTTGTAGTATTTGCTTTTCTCTCACTCTTTTAAACACTTGGTTATTTTTCTCATAGATGTCTGATTTACGTCGTGAAAGAGATAAAACTCGTATTCGTGGTATTAGTAATAATGTAGTTTTATCTAATAGCAATTCTTATTCGACATCAACAAAACATAGCGGAGAAAAAGATGATCGTTCACATCGGAAACGTACAAATGAAGATCGACGAGAAGTATCATCAACATCAGAGAGAAGGTGAGTAAAAAATAATCAGAACAGTGCTTTTTTTTAATAATGTATTTTTTTCAAAATTGATAAAAAAACTGCTTTATCAATTCTAAAATTTCTACCCTTGAACAAGTATAATGTTATTTTTTCCATTTTGCAGTACTAATATTCACGCCAAAGTGTATGTTGGAAATGTACCGACCGAACGTTTGAGTGATACAGAATTATTAGATTTTTTTAAACCTTTTGGCCAAGTTGCGGGTGAGTCACTGAAAATACCATAATAAAATAATTGTATTGTTCTTGTATATGTACCATAGAAGAAATAATTTTAATTTTTTCTAATTATTTTTATTCATTCTGATTATTTACTAACTTTTTCTCTTGATAAATTCTATTTTTTTTACACATAGATATTCGTGTTTATAAAGGATATATATTTGTTCAATATGATCGGGAAGAAGACGCAAGAAAATTAATTAAAGAAGGACAGAATACATTGACGTTGAAAGGAAATAAACTTGGTATGTCGCTGTGGATATGATTATTATATTTCTTATCTGATCATATCTTCGATAAGAGGAAATGAACAAAAAACAATAAAATTTACAGATTTTACTTTTTTTACACAGAGTAAAGCTGTTTTCATTTCTATTAAAAGAGGAAGAGTTCTTCAGCATCGATGCGTGTCCGATTTTATATTTGCAGTTGAAGATAAATCCTTTTTGTTCTCGTGTATTTTAACAGTTACTCTAGAAATTTCTTGTTGTTTTTTTAGATGTATTACCTGCAATGGACGCGAGTAGTGACCCTTCAAATACATTGACAGAAAAAGATTCTCATCCACAGACATCGCAATCAAAACAGCAGAAAAACACATCCGGCACAGTGGCAACAACAACAACAACGTCTTTATCATCGACACAAACACAACCATCAACAAGTGAAAGCTATACAAATAGGTAAAGTGTGAATTTCCTTTGATTATATCCATTAACTCATTCTTGTACAATTTTTCTAGAGATTATGAGCGACAGGAACGTATACCAATAGGTTCATCACGTTACAAAGAAATAAGGTGACAAATCAAATATTATGTACCAACGTATATGTGATAAATGCATCTTTTTTTTCTAGAGATTATTCTCCTCGTCGTTCCATATCGTCACGTGATCGAGATAATATTGGTTTAGCCTCATCTTCATCAACCTCAACAGTGCCGCGTCATTCAACTAGCCGTGAGGCATCCACTCATCAGCATCATCATTCAACAAGATACTCTTATAATGAAGAGCCAGCAAGAAAAAGGGTAGCACGAGCAAATGGTGAACAACATTATGTTAATGAACAGCTTGTTTGCAGGTACATACCGACCAGACTTTCGATGGATAAATCGAAATAACGAAATGTTACCGTTCTATCCGTCGAAGTGCCATTTTGCAAGCATGTCCTCAATCAATTTCTTTATCCGCATGTGACGACCTTGGATTTTAAAAATATTGAACAAACTTTTTTATTTGGTTTTATGGAAAAAGAGTGTACCTAAAAGTTAAACAAATCTCAGAAACAAAAAGCTTTTTAACACTATACAGTCCTGTACAAAATTATAGAGAACATTTGTTTTTTGATTTTTCTACTCAACCGTAATAGAGAGAACAAATCTAAAAAGTAATTTGAATAGCTGAAAGACTTTCTAATCAGATGAGATGTATATAAAAATTTCATTAAAATTCCTGCGCACCAGGTACGTGGAAAACTAAGGTTTTAGAAATCCCCCCAAAAATCAAGTTTCAGGATTCCAACGGAAACTTTTTGTAAACAGCTCATTCGTGTAGAACAAACATTTGGGAACAAAAATAGACGTCACCGAACTCTGCACGATGTTTTTTATCGAACTGCATTCAATTTATGAACATCAAAATTAAAATTAAGAAAAATCAAAAAAACAAATGTTCTCTATAATTTTGCACAGGACTATAATAGGAAAAAAACGCATAAAAAAAGTTTTTTAAAAAAAATCTTTAGCTCAAATTTCGTTTACTTCGCACGAAGCATCGATGAAAACACATACCTTGCATAAATTACTATTGCAGAAATACTGTGGGGTTTCAATCTCCATTACTTTTTAACTTAAAAAACGACCTTATTTTGAACATAGTGGTTTGCATGAAAGTGGAATGAATGGATGTTCGGATACTCCGAAGTGTCGCCTTTCTTTAGGTGCATCTTAGATTCGATTTAGACCTATTTTTGTATCTGTTGTACCTACCTATTGGATCTGTACTGCCAGAAGCGTATTTTTTGTGTGTTAGACAACTGATCTTGCGTGATCGAAGAATACAACGAATGTTTCTTTATTTCTTCTCAGTGATACTGAAGATGAACGTCGTTATTCATCGTCGACTTCTTCAGCGATATCATCTTCCATTCCATCACGCGATCCATATGTTTTTCGTCGTACACCAGCTACAGACCAACGTCCTTTAGTTACACTACTGAGTGGACCACCTACAGATTCAAATCAATTGGTTGATTGTGAAATAATTATTGTCAATCCGCACCAACGGTACGTTGAAAGCCGATATTTCACATCAATTTAAACTGTTTTATTTTGTTTAGTGATTATGCTGACGAGATTGAATCTCGTTTGCGTACCCATGGCATGGTTACATCTATATTATTATTGAGAGAGGATTATTCATTGACTCAAGCTGTTGATTCGAGTGCCAAGAGACAATGTTTGTTTGCTGTTATCGCCATGCCATTACATGAGCAAAAAAGAACAGCGTCATTTCACATACTTTATGGACAAACAGAAGGTAATACCTCTATTAATAAATTTAACTAACATAAACGGACACTTGTACAGGATCTCTTAGACGACTACTTGTTCATTGTTTTGAAAGATGATCAAATTTTTCTGGTGTTTATTTCTGTCACTTTTTTCATTTACATTTCAGAACATCGTAATTTATCATTAGAAGACGGTTATCATATATTATTAACAAATTTTATTGAATATCAAGAAATGTTACGAAAACGAGCAACATCAACAACGGATCAGTCTGCGACTTATAATTATCCTCAGGTGCATGCACATCATCCACCGATTATGCTACGTCGAACACCTTCCCCCGTTCACGCGAACCACCACCACAATCAAGAAGTAGATACTTACCCTCATCAACATTCAACGAGAATTGTTCATCAGCCATTATCGTCTACATTGGATCCACTACATATAAATGCTCCACCAATTGTAGGCGATAAATTACCGTTACCAATGTTACTTTGTTTATTAGCCGAAAGAAGGCAGCTAACTCTTGAAGAAATTGATCGTGTGCTAGTTTATTTATTGGAGAAAAAATCGGAAATGCTTGGATTACCGTGCGGTACATTGCCGCCACTACCCGCTCAATATGCTCAATCAAAAGTAACTGCAGCATCAGCAGCCGCAGCGATGTCATCAACAGGTATTTCGATTCTCATTCGACAAATGTTATAATTATTACAAATGAAACGATAATTTATTGATCGCGTCGTTTGGGAATGTGAAATGGGCGTGTATTGAGAAAATCCATCCAAATGTGTTCTTCAAGAAAGAGAATAGTCGCAATTAGTTTAGTTAAACGGGTGCACCTTTCTCTCTTCATAGAAACCGATTTTTCTCAGCTGCAATCAAACTCGGCAAAGAGATGACAACAAATAATTTGTTAATGAATGAAAGAAAAAGAGAAGTAGAAAAAGAAGTCGTTTTGTTTTCAATCTTTTCAATCTAATAAGTTAGGTCACGTGTTACAAAATATATCTTAAGTTTATAGATTTTCCAGTGCGTTGATAATAACGAGTAGTTTTTAAACATTTATTAGTTTCGATCGAAATATCGTCTGAACTTCATCTTATATGAAAAAATAAACGTTTTTTGAGAGTTAAATTTTGCAAATATTTTTTGCCACCATTCGACGGCATTTCGATCAAGACTTATGTTGATTTTAATATTGGTAAACTATGTGTGAGGAAGAGATTTCCATTAAAGTGAAGAAGTCTTTACTTTTATGCAAAAGTAAAAGCGGATCTCCTCATCTGGGCCAAAAATAATCTAGAAAAATAATATTTTAAGCGGTTCGTCAAACATCATTCTGATGATTGAAAAACTGAAAGTAGAATTCATTTTACTAGCTTAAACAGTGCGTTATATCAGACTGTTTTCTGTCAGAGACAGTATGAAATACATTTTTTCTTCTGTCCATCACGTTCAGGGTTAAAAGTAAAAAGCTTTCGCTGTTTCGTGATGCATAATATCTTGTCTTTTACTATCTTTTTCTCTATTTTTCACGTTCGCGCGAAAAGCAGCGAAATGTTATTTTGAAATGGGTAAATGAAATTTAGAATTTTTTAAAAGAGGGAACACCATGTTAAATATTTTTAATTTTCCCTCTCCAAATTATTAGGTCAATTATCATCATCAACAATTACCATACCGTCGAGCATAATTCCAACAAATCAAAATCAAAATTCATCAACAACGAATACAAGCACAACGGCAGTTACACCGTCAACAGACACGCTAACACAAACAATTTCATTGGATATAGCAGCACAAATTCGTCAGATATTAAGTTCAACAATGCAAGGTGTAGGTTTAGTAACATCAGATCAACAGCTAAAACCAACATCAGCAGTTGTCGAAGAGACAAAAATGCCTGTAATTAATGAACAACTAACATCAGTAATTAAAAAAGATCCTGAACCAGTGGAAAAAAAAGAAAAGACACCGCCTCCAATTCAATTTCAAACATCAACTCCAGTAACTGATACATATAATAAACATCAACAGCAAAGTAGATCTTTTAGTTATAATAATTTGAATACGAATCAAAATTCAAGAAAGACTAATCAAAATCAAAATCTCAAATCTCAACGTGGTGTTCATATAGGAAATAGCACAAATAATAACAACAATGGATTAATCCAGCAGAATGTGAATCCATTTACGTCACCAAACGAAAATATTAAACAGGCAGCTGCTGAATATGTTCAAAATCAACAAAATCAACAGAATCAACAAAAACAAGTATTACAAGCGCAAGCTCAAGCTATCAAACAACGACAACTACAACAACAAACAAAAGGACTATCTACTATTAATAGTGTACCAACATTTCAATCATCAAATTGGAATCAAACTCAGCAATCTCGGCCCATGCAACAGCAGCAACAACCGACAGCATCCACAGCAACATTTTCTTATAATACTAATAGTAACAATACTAATGCTAATACTAATAATCTAATGAAACCTAAATCTGATAACTCGGCTACAGCTCCACCATTCCACTATCCAGCTGAATCGGCAACATTTAGCGATCAAAATTATTCAAATTTTCCCAATCAGTATGCTTCATTTGTCACAGAACAGAAACCTCCGTTACCTCCACCACAGGAGCAGCAACCTCCTCCTCCTCCTCCACAACAACATCCAGCAAATAATATTGTTGTTGTTCCAAATACGCCTACTTATATTATGAACACCGGTCCAGGCCTTTTACAAATGCCTAGTCATCAATCAACGACACAGTATTTAACAACAACTACGCCAAATTATACGGTGGTAACAAACACAACTAATGTCAATAATCGTTCGCTTCAACAACGACAACAACAACAGTCATCTTCCCAAACCAATTATCTGCCACCAAATTATGTGACAAATACTGCAGTTGATGCTACAGCTCTTTATCAGCAATATACACAGTATGTGCAGCAAGGTACTACACCAATACAACAAACAATGATACGAAAGTAGTTCTGATACATATGCACACTTTGAAGTTTATTTTCTTGGAGTTTTGCTTCAATAATAGGCATCTAGCAAAAATGGAGATTTTTTTTCTCACACAAGATATGCGTGTGAAAGTATTGTCACATGTGTGACGTAAAGGAACGCGGAAAAAAAAAGAGAAGCAAAAGATCAGATATATAGACTAGAGCTATGATATACATGTGCGAAAAGAGATACCTCCCTTTTTGCTAGATGCCTTATGAAAAATTTGGTTAGGATATAAAATTTGTGTCGAAAATAGATTTCTGACTGAAGCAGAGTTGTCAGATGCTCAGGTCAGAAATGCGGAATAAAAATTCCAAATTGCGAAAAAAATTTTCAGAATGCGGAAGAAAAACGGAAACGCATTTCTATGGTCTAACTTCATCCTTTTTCACGCGCAGAGAGTCAAACTATGTTTTCTCTAGCAATTTGCGATTTTGCTCAATAACACAAGAAAAAAACAAACAGAAATGTAAATCTCAATTTTGATTGACACGTTGTTTTTTTACTGTATATTTTTGATTAGAATGAATAAATTTAAGCAGTTCTGACATTGATAAGAAGTAACTATAAATTTCAGTACATTATAACGATGAGTTTAAACGAATTTTTAACTCAGTGGAAAAACAGCAAAAGCAGAAAATGCTTAAAAAGTGGACAAATAACAGACAGCGGACAAATTGTGGAAAAAACTCAAAAATCCGGAATTTTTTCGCAAAATACTTCAGTACATATTATCCGGACCATCTGACAGCTCTGGACAGGAGGAGCCTTAAGTTACATATTATAAAAAAAAACAAATAGTTTTTGTGATTTTTTGCAAATGTATCGACCACTTTTTCGAAGTAAGCAGAGTTGTCAGATGCTCAGGTCAGAAATGCGGAATAAAAATTCCAAATTGCGAAAAAAATTTTCAGAATGCGGAAGACTGTTATTAGCGGATAGACTGAGCTCCTTCCACTCTGACTTTGATGTTTTAAATTCATCTTTGTTTCTACTGAATGAATTTGTTTTACAAACGCTTTGTTGTTATAGACAAGTTCGAGGCTTGAAAAGAAATATACTGAGTCCCTCTGGCCTAGTTGCCACTATTTATTTCTTATTCTACTACGATAATATGTCGAAACAGTCCAGAATCTTTGCATATCCATCACACAAAAGCGAAATCATACGATGTACGAAATTAAAAGTGCTCTGTGTATTTTTGAATTTCGCCGCTCTTTCTTAGATTTTAAACCTGAATAAAGTAAACAAAAATTTATATGTATTTCTATTTCGTTAAACAACTCAATAGATATTTAAATTTCTAATACTATTTTCAACAAAAGAAGCCAAGAGAAAAACACGAATTTATTTCTAGCCAACGAGCAATTATCGTGACCCTTACTCAATTATAAAAAAATGGCACGCTCAACAAATGCGATTGAAACTGAAAAAATGCTCGTTTTCAGTAAACGTCCAGCATCAACAATGACAAAACTTGTCCTTTTATCTCAAAGAACAATACGGTGAGGGTATTTCACGTTATCTTTCTCATGCTTCCGTAAAAAGAATAGTAGAAACTGAAGTTTCGAGGTTCGAACATAATCCTTTTAAAGTCCATGACGAACACTATAACCGTCAAAACATATTGTTCGGAAAGACATCAGGCCAATAAGAATTAAAGGATAAGTTAGGCCTAAGCTCAAGCCTAACTTCTGGTTTTTGAGTATCCTATTCAGGCTGAATTTAGGCCAGAATGTGACAACAATCACTTTGATCCATCCTGTTCTCAGTGTTTAGATTTATATTATGAATAACTCTAATAAGAATTAAAGGGCAAATTAGGACTTAAACTATATCGCCTTATTCTTTCGGTTTATAAATAGACACTTGCTCTCCTAAATCGATGCTCTCGGTGGCAAATCCTCATCAGACACTTACTTACCTAATTGCTATACGATAATTTTACAAAACAAAAGACAATACATAAGATTACCATCTTGCTTCAAAAGTCTATGCAATTTATACTTTTGCCACTGTTCCGCAAAAGATATTTTATTTATTAATTCTCATAAAATCTGCAAAAATAAAAGAAAAATACAAGATACGAAATTTAATTTCAATATTCGCATTAAAAGTGTTAGGTGAACAACTGTCTGATGAACATGTATCTCATTGAGCATCGATCCTAACATACATCGCTAAAGTACAGCAAATTGTTAAACAAGTGAGTCTTTAATAAGTACTAATCTAAAACACTTTTTCTCACTGTGGGCGTTTCCACTCCCAACTGTTAAAAAAAGAAAGTTTATTGAACATAGTCTTGGAAAAAATGTTAAATGGTTATTTTAGATATACATGGCGTATTCGTTTTTGTGGTTGTATTCCGATTATCTTATGTGAATTATTTTTACCAGTTGTGTTGCTCGGCGTGGTTTTTGTTGTTCAATATTTCCTTGGCAATAACGAAAATGTTGTAGATGTTACAAAAAGTGTAAGAAAACGGCGACAAAGTAAGAAGTTTTCTCCTTTATAGGAGTTGTAGAGTATTACATTTATAGACCTTGTTTATTTCCAACGTGATTTTCAATTTTCAGTGGAAATTCTGTATATATACGTAAAGTTTTTATAGTTAAACTTTATAACACAGCAAAGATAAGTTAATTTTCCTCATATGACTATTTATAAGATGATTTTTTCATGCCCTTATAGATAATAGACTATAGATATCTCTTAAAAATAAAGTATAGTTTTGTTGCAATTAAGCGTTTGTATTAAAGGAAGTTTTACTTATTCTATCAATTTGTAATAGAGTGCACGTTTCATGCACTCAAACTCACCGATTCATCCGTAAAATCTCAAAAACTCATGATTGTTTTGCTTCAAGTCTTTGTCTGTGCTATAATCTATATGTTACGAGTTTGAATCTCACACTGAAAGTTGTGTTTATCCATCTGGATAGATCATTAGTACATAAATATAACGATGAAAAAATATTAAAGTATAAAGAAAGAAAAAATGATTAAAAAACTAATGTATAAAAGAGAATCATGTATTACGGTTCTCGATTGAAAATTGACATTGTCACTTTCCACCATCTCGTCGATGAATCGAAAGGTTTTTTTGATAATTTTCCACAATTTCGATTCCATAAAAATTTTGAAGTAAACAATAATTTTTTTTGGGGAATTGTGATTAATAATTAGATTTATATGAGCAATTTTATCAGTATGACTTAAAATCTAACTCTAATTTCTTTTTGAATAAATTTTATTTTCTCTAAAGCACAAGATATCGGAGAAATATTGGGTAATATTCCTGATCAAGTTAAATGTCCTATAACAATTGATGATAATAAAAAATTGTTAAATCCGCAATGGAGTGACAGATGTTTGTTATTTCCAAAGATTTATGATAGAGATACGCCATCAATATATCCTGATGGAGAAATGTTAAATGATCAATTTATACCTACACAATTATACATAGATGGATTATATGGACAAGTTTTAAAATCATTTCTAAATGGAATGAAAGAATTTTTAACCGAACATCAATGTTTAAATACGAGTATGCATGTTCGAACAGTTAAAACAATACTTCAACCGAGTAATAAAATACCGATATCTGAGAAACAAACGGCATTCTTACTTAATAATAAATTTGGTAAGTGAATGAATATAATCATCTAATGTCGAATGTTGTACAAAATGTGTTTAAAAAATGAGGTTAATATTGACACTTCTATGAATGATTCTGATGATATTTTGTATTCAAACAAAAAAACTAGGAATCATTGTTAGCTTAGAAAGCCGTTTTGAATAAGTAAAGAATAATATAATGATCAGTATAATAATTTCGAATATCATTTTTCTTTCAGGTAATCGAATTATTGTTGAATTCAAAAATTTTGATAAATATAATATTGAGTATAACATAATTGTACGTGCACCAAGAAATACAACTGTCCGAAAAGATGGCAAATTTCGATTGAATCATGAATTTCTTTATTCACTTCATACGCCATCTGAAATACATGATTCTCAAAAAGAACAATTTGCAAAATTTTCTAATATTAAAATGGCTGTAGGTATTATTTATTTGACTTTATACAGGAAGATTCACTAATTCTCTTCCAATAAGACGTGTATACCGTTTTAGGTTGACATCGTTGCAGCGAGATATTTTTCTCATAAACCAAAACTCAATCTGAAAATACAACGTAAATCGTTAACTGTAAGTAAATTGAATGAGAAGAACAGATGGTACAGTTCTTTTGAATAAGAAGAAATTGTTAGAACGGAAATTGAGATGTGATAAAAGAGGGAAACACATTTGCTCGTACGACAATTTGCTCTGCTGGACTGATCCCCGCTAAAGCAGATACTCACTAGACACTTTAAATGTGTATGTCTAACACTTTTAAATATAAACGCTGAAATAGTTTATAAAACATACTCAAAGTAATTAATATTTCAATTAATAAAACGTTGGTTCTTTGTGAAATATTGAGCATAATATTAATAAATTTCGAAGACTTTTCAAGCATGATACCATTTTCACTGTTTAAAATATTTGTCATAGTTTATAAAACGTCTAAAAACGCTTCATTACTTCTTCACAATGGTTTTTCTTATATTGTCAAAAAAATATATTGGAAATGTGGAGTTTTTGTCATGCACATCTTTATACGGATTTAAATAATGTAATAATAAAAATCGATGACGAACACGAAAATACTTTGATAACGAATCCTCATCCAGCACTTTACAATCAATTATAAACTATTAGAAGTTTACTATCCTTATAAGTATCTTCTTTTATATTTTTGTTGTACATATCGGTGTGCTTTTGAGTATATTTTATAAACTATTTCAGTGTTCATATTTAAAGTGTTAGACACACGCATTTATTAGTGTCTGGTGAGCATCTGACGTAGCGAGCATTGATTTTAGCGAGGATCAGTCCAGAAGAGCAACTTGTCATACGAGCATATGTCCTAAATTCGAGAAAAAAGATGATCGCTTCACGTATGACAACGATATGACAAATGAGAATCTTTTTCTCATCGGATACGAAACTAGTCGATAGGAATAGCTAACGATTCTAATTATTATAGTTAGAAGAAACTGATCAGTTCTGATTTTTTTGAAAAGAACTGGTAACAATTTCCATTGGACAGAACAAAACTGATGATCGATACTTTAGATCAGGTCATAGGAACTCTAAGAACTGAATTTTACATCTTATGAGAAGAGTGAGTGTATGAAAATGTCTTTCAATCGATAATCATCTTGAGAAAAAAAATGTTGATATTTTGAGTTTTTGATTATTTCAGTGTACAAAATATAAATCTGAACAAAATGTTTTCGATCGTGTTCCATTACGTGTTAATCAAGTATTTCTCAATATGATATTTTTATTTTCTTATTTTATACTAGCAAATTCAATTATTAAAGAACGAAATCAAAAAGTAAAAGAAATTCTTAAAATAATTAATATACCACCATTATTAAACAATTTTGCTTGGGTAAAATTTTAAACACATATTCAATTTATAGTTTGATATTGATCAGTTTTTATTTTTAATTTAGTCCTTACGTACGTTGATTATAATGTTATTAGTTACAATGGGTTTAACATGTTTATGGAAAATACCGATTAATAAAACATACGGTTCACTCTTCTCCAATGTTAGTCTCATATATATTATATTAACATTTGTCTTTTTATCAATACAAATTACATCCTATGCAATATTTTTTGCTCAATTATTTAATTCATTTACAACAACATTTATATTTTCAATTATTATATTTATAATTATGATGACATTGGGTTATATTGGGTAAGCTATTTAATATATATATATATAAATATAACCAATACTATCAACATTTAGATATTTGAATATTTTAGATCTCATTTACCCGTTCTTTTGAGTTATCTATTGTGTATGAATCCATTTTATAGTACAATATTTATTTTAACACATCAATATTTATTTGAACGAGCTTATGTTAATATAACACTATTTAAACCTTTATATAAACAAGCACCAAGAATTGGTCTTTGTTGGTTATCAATTATCATGTCAATTGGATTTTATTGGTTTCTTGTTTGGTATGTGGAAAAAATTATGCCAGGTATGATTTTTAAAAAATATGTTTTTATCGTCTATAAACATCCACTAAGGATATGTGAAATGAAAATATTTGAAGACTATCGAAGAATGTAACAAACATAGCTCATTTTCTTTTTGTCAGGTGATTTTGGTATACCACTTCCATGGAATTTTATCTTTACGCGTGAATATTGGGAAGCTGTTGATGAAAATGTATTATTTAGACAAAGTCAATTATCTCTATCAACTCATGATAGTGAACATTCATTAAATGACAGCTCATCAGCTATTGTAGAAATTAAAAATTTAGTTAAAAATTTTGGTCTCGAGCGTAATGCCGTTGATGATGTAACATTTTCATTGTTCACAAATGAAATTACTGGTCTATTGGGACACAATGGAGCAGGTATAGTCGGCTATTTACTGCAAAATGGAATAAATTCTATTGCTAAGTTGAATAAGTTTTGAATGGTGATAGATAGAGATTGACAGTTTTTTCCATTCCTATTGAAAACCTGTATTAGATGAAATAATCTAAGTTTTATGCTGTTCTCAAGGATCATTCAGGCATTCTTAACTCAGTTAAAAGCGATCGAAATTACTTCAAAACTTCATGTTATAATCTATTTTATCTGTTCTATACTAATTAGTAAAACACATTCTCTTCTTTTCAAAGATTTCTGGACTACCTTTTCAGAAACTACAGTATTTTCTACTGGCGTTACTACTTTTATTGGCCTTCGGGGTATGCTGCAAATAAAATAGAATATATTTTAATGTTTTAAAGTAGTTTGAACTCTTCCTTAAAAAAACAGATTCTTTCATCTGATATAAATTCTCACTAGATTTTGAACTTTTTTCGAAATACAAACATTTGTACGATACTTAGAGTAGTCATCAATTTTTAAGGTTATCAAAAGTCAGGACAGCGTACTCTTAGGGCTCTCATGATATCCGATATCACATCGAAACCCATTATTTATGAAGAGTTCGGATGAACTCTCATTTTTTTACAAGATACTTTGGACTATCTATCTCGGTAAAAAAGAAATATGTCTCTATTGCTTGCAAATCTGTATCTATCTATTAGGATTCAAAAGTTATTCAGAAAACGCTCGAATCTATTCTATAAAATTTATAGTAGTTTTTCTAATGCGTTCCACGATACATTTTTGTTACTTAAGGTAAAACGACGATTATGAATATGTTAATCGGAATATTTAGTCAAACATCTGGTACCATAAAAGTATTGGATAAAGATACAAAATTTCATATGGATTATATTAGACAATTTATGTCCTATTGGTGAGTATATCATAAGACATTTAGTTCAAAAATATGAACAATTACTATTCGAATTTTAAGTCCACAACATGATATTTTGTTTGATTTACTCACTGTTCAAGAGCAAGTTGAATTTCATGCCATTGCTAGAGGTGTATAGAATCTTTTTTAAAAATTTATTTCGTATACGTTAGCTTTTTTTCACAGGTTACGAAGCGAATAAAGATGCTATATGTACAAATTTACTGCAGATGGTTAGCTTATTAAAAGATCGACATGTTTATTGTCAAGATTTATCAGGTGGTATGAAACGTCGATTATCTATAGCGTGTGCATTTATTGGAGATACAAAAATTGTTTTATTAGGTAATACAATATATCGTACTATGATTAAAAATTATTTTCTGTTGTTTTTCTTTTTTTTGTTGCAAAGATGAACCATCGAGCGGTACGTATTGTTGATGATTCCTATGTCGACAAAACGATAAATTTTCATTGCTAAAAAGCACAAAACTTATGTGCGTGTAGTGTTGTCGAAATCTATAATAAAATGTTTTCTATTTTCTTACGTAACACAACTCATACGAATCATTTATACCCTATTTTTGAAGAAACAAAAACAATGTCAGCGGCTTTTAAACATATATAATGCATAAAATATCAATGTGTGAAATGATGTTCAATTATTTATCCAATGATACCGTATTATATTTCACAGCAGGCTATGCGTCAATTCGACCGGCCGTAGGCAAGCCAAAAATTCATAGTTTGAGGAAAACTCATCAATATTTTGCGTTGTTATACAACTAAAAACTCAGAAAAATATACAGTATAATGTCGAAAACGTATTTTGTAACAAAATGGCACGTTTTTGTGGATTTTTTAAAATTTGACAGTGTCAGAAAACGTATACAAAAATGATACACTTTTTTTTTGGCAAAAAAAAACGTGTGCGTTTATAGAAGAATATCTGACGAAAATTTCGACATAGATTATGTCTTTCATCAATGCACAGTATATAATTTCTAAATATTCTAGGTTTAGATCCAAGTAATCGTCGATTGTTATGGAATTGGATTCGTTCTGTGAGAGAAAATCGAACAATTTTATTAACAACACATTTCATGGAAGAAGCAGAGTATGTTTTTAAAGTATTTTACATACTTTGATACTTTATTTACATTATTAATTTTCAAAGTGCATTATCTGATCGTATAATAATAATGGTTGATGGTAAAATTAAAGCTGATGGTAGTAGTATAGAATTAAAAACACAATTTGGTTCCGGTTATAAATTTACAATAGCAAAAATTGTCGAATTAAATATAAATATTTATGATACAATTTTACACTATTTACCACATGCGGAAATTGAATTAGAATCAAAAGATGAAATTGTTATTCGTGTAAATGTTTCACCAAATCAAAATTTTATTAATTGTTTAAAACAATTAGAATTTATGAAATATTATGAACAAATTGCCAATTATGGCGTATCAAATACAACATTAGATGGTAAAAAGTTTTATTTTCAACTTGATTAATGATCATTTATTATTTTTATTCTCCTTCTTTTTTTTAGAAGTATTTTTAAAAATTGCTGTTGATAAAGTAGAATCAAATACAAGTACAAATCAAGATACCATACGAGATGTTGATATTAAAGAAAATTGTTTTGAAGTATTTGATCAACGAACAATTGAAGATGGCTACGATTATTATATAAGTCAATATGAAGGTTTAATAATAAAATCAGTTCAAATATGTTCAAGACGATGGTTTCTTGCTCTAATTTTAATCATATTACCGATTGGAAATCGATTTTTTATAAGAACAGAAGTTACAACAAATATTGAAAGTTTTGATATGAATTATGAATATTTTTATCCACAAAAAATTTATATTCAAAGTACATCACAAACATTATTAGATAATATGATAAATACTATAGGAAATAAATATACAATTGTTGATCATCATGTACAATCTATTCATAATATTGATGAATTGATTCATAGTAATATTTCTCATTTTTTTTCCTTTGTTTAATATCTATTTTTATTTATATAAACTTTTGTTCTATTTTAGATCTTCGAATACGCGATCCATATACCTATTCAACAGTTCATTTTGGATTTTTTATGGATAAACCGAATGAAATAGAATATGTCAATTCACATTTAACACTTGGTTACGAGGCATTGAATATAGCAATGAATATACTTTATAAAGAAGCGATAGAAGATCATAATTCTGGTATTTTAATTAAATCAAAATTACTCTATAGAATAAATCCCAATGATCAAATGATGGAAGCAAATTTTCTTAATTTTATTCAAATCTATGGACGATTTTGTCGTAAGTTTCATCATATACATTCGAATATAAAACTACAGTGTACAGTGTGTGTACTTTGACCCATGACCTATTTCATGGCGAATGATGTAAAAATTTTTGTTCCGGCTTTTGTATTAAAGTGGAAAAGGTAGCATAAAAACAAAATCGAAAAACGTAGGATGTATTGAAGAATAATATTTTTTATGAATTGTGCAAAGTATTTATGGATAAATCATACATATTCTGAAACTAGATCTTCTGGACTATCGACTCGTAAAAAAAACTGCGTCAAAAACTGCATCGAATGATGTGTGTCTCAAGTATTGCCGAACAAAAAAATATTTCGATCCAGTGTAATGCAACGGATTTAGCATATCGACACAACCAATTTGACTTGACATGTAGACATGTGCTAGAAAAGTGGTACACAAGTCTCTAAGTACTCTTTTTATAGGTTTTCGCATGTACCCTTTCTAGAAGGATGATTTTCAAATTTCGGTATGTTTGTTTGAAAAGTATCCTTCTAGAAAGAGCACATGCGAAAACCAGTAAGAAAAACCAGAAAACCAGAAAAAGAGTGCTTAGAGACTCGTGTATCACTTTTCTAGCACATGTCCACGTACTTAGCCAAAATTGCCCACTATGTAACTGTGTCGATTTATAGTTTCAATTGCAAATCCACCCGAATTATTAATATTAGAATTATTATCATATTATTTAATATTTTTTTATATAAGTGTATTTGTTATATCAGAAAAAAAAGATCACTTTCTTCATTTATTGCATATATTTGGTCTTCATCCATTGATGTATTGGTCATCACGTTATCTAGTTGATTTATTAATATGTGGCATATTTATTTTAATTAATTGGAGTGTTTACGAAGGTTATAATCATTTGTATTTAGGAGAAGAAAAAAGTCATACGATACAAAAACAAAATGAAGTAATATTATATCGAAAATATTATCAATTAGTTATTGTTATTTGTATAAATATTTTACCATTTGTTTATCTGTTATCGAAACTATTTAAATCCGATTTATTAGGTGGATTATTTATATATTTAATTATTGTTCTTACCGAATGTTTTGAATTTGCTCGCGCAATGCTACAAATTGTTGGACTACTAAGTGAAGGAAAGAAAAGAATTAGTTATTGGTTAACAACAGTATTATGTCCAAATTTAAATTCTAAACGATTAATTTCGTATATGTTAAAAGAGTTTAGTAAGTTAAGATTGAAAATTTAATTCAAGTCACCGAGAGATACGTTTTTCACTTCGAGAAAAAGATGTGCAGGGCCCTGCAGGGTGCCCTTACCCTAACATGCAGGGTAGGGTGGGGGTAGATTTCGAAGTCACAGGGTAGGACACGGCCAGTGCTAAGCAAACAAATACCCTACACATCTCTGATCCCGATCGAGAAGTGTTGAAACAAATGAAATCTCTGAGAGCATACTTTCTAAATTTCTCGCTAGAGCAAGAATCTCAACTTATACAATCCAGCGTCAGAAGAGAAGTATTGGATGAAAGAGAGCTTCTCATAGTAGAAAAGACTTTAATTTTATATTTGATTTTGATAAAAGTTTTATCAAACGTCAAATTTCAGAAAAATATCAATTTATTTTCATTGGTCGATAGTTATTATCCTTTTGTAAGAACGATGATGTATTACTCTACCACACTAATTGAGAATCAGCTTTCTAGACTTTTTAGCTCCGAATTTAAACAGAACAACAAGTACCGATCAGTCCATTCTAGTAACAGAATAAGGATCGAATTGTTCTAAAATGGTAATCTTAGATTTTTTAGGTCTAAATGAGCTAATAAAGGAAAAAAAAGTTCTGTATTAATCAAGATTTATAAACTTTCGAAAGTTTGAAATGCTTTAGCTTTTTTTACAGTTGTTAAGAATACTGTGTTTGGTAAATTTGTTTTTACAACCGTTCTTTATTTGTAGAAAAGCTCAAACTTTGGAAAACTTGAACTGGTCGTGACCACGCACACAATCTTGAGAATAATCGTGTTCAAAGTCTGTTTCATCAAAATTTTGGTAATGTTTGACGTATATATTTTTCACTTAGATAACAGAAAAGTTACAAAAGGCAGTCTCGAGGATTGTGCGCATAGTAACGACCGATCCATTTTCCAGTACCTGGGCATCTCTGGTAACGAAAACTGGTTGTAAAAACAAGTTTATAACTTTTAAACAAAGTTGAGTTGTGAAAATCAATCCACTTGTACAATTTTGAAAGGGCGACCTACCTCTAGCTGATCATATTGTATAGGAAATTGCATAGAATTCTAAAAGATGGCTATAGAATTAAAGGGCAATGTTGTATCTTCTGTGTATGTTTTAGGCAACAATTGCATTCCGCTTCAAATTTTAGAACAAATTCCTGGTAGGTTGGTTATTCATTTATTTTACATGGCCAAGCGGCCACCAGGAGCAAAGCTTTCATTTCAATCAATAAAAAAACTGTGATCTCTTACTCATTACATTATTTTTGAACATTAGGAATGAGTCCTGATAGTAAACCAAATATGAAACCGGAGTATAGTGATATGCGTTACTATGCCCATTTTTTTGTTTTACTTATGCAAGTGGGTGGCATCTTGCTATTGTTGGTTTTAATTGACACTGGAATGATTAAACAAGCAATTAACAATATGTCATTGATGCCCAATGTGCAGTGTGTATTGTTTTTTATGTATATTTGTCTTTGCATATGTCATCATTTTTTCTCGTCTTGGTTTCAAGTCCATTCGATGAAGCGAATTTAGATGAAGATGTTTTGGATGAGCGGAAAAAAATATTAACTAATGAAGATGATACTGATGATGATCCTTTGGTTGTCAAAGATGTGGTCAAACAATATCCAACCAAAGTTGTATTGGCTGTCAATCATGTAGCGTTTAGTGCAAAACAAAATGAATGTTTCGGTTTACTTGGATTCAACGGAGCAGGAAAAACATCATTATTCAAAATTATTATTGGTGAAGAATTGCCAACTGAAGGAGGAATCTATATTGATGGTGAAAAAATGCATGAATTAATAAAAGGTGGCTCTAAAGAAGTGGGCTATTGTCCACAATTTGATTGCACCATTGATTTTTTAACCGTTGAAGATTTTCTAACATTATTTGCTCGAATTCGTGGCATAACTGGTGATCGTGTAGAAATTGTTGTTAAAAGTGTTGCAAAATTATTTATGCTAGAAAAATTTTATAAACAATATGCTGATCAATTAAGTGGTGGAACAAAACGACGACTTCATGCATGTTTAGCATGTATTGGACCACCATTAGTTATTCTACTTGATGAACCAACAACGGGTAATGGAAATATTATACAGTTGTCGAATTTTTACCGGTTGATATTTAAAAGCTACAAAGTTTATTTTTATCAGTAGAGAATAGTCTGTTTTGTTTTTATTCATAGGAGTTGATCCATATTCAAGACGTCAAATGCGTCAAGTATTTCAATATGCAACACAAACCGATGTTACAATTATCTTAACAAGTCATTCAATGGAAGAATGTGAAATATTGTGTAACCGTCTGGGAATCATGGTTAAAGGTCAACTACAATGTTTAGGTAATATACAACATTTAAAAGCAAAATTTGGTAAAGGTTATACAATTGATGTCAAATTAAAAGTGGATAAAGACAATGACGATGATCAACGACTTGAAGATTTATACAATTATTTAAATTCAAATGTACCTATTGAATTGTTACATCAGACAAACAACACAGGTTTATTTCAATCAGAATCATCACCTGCACTTCTATTTCATTTAATTGAACATGCTAAAGCACAATATGATATTGAAACGTATGCCGTTCAACAAACAACAGTAAGTTAATTATATTTATCCGATTAAAACTTATTTATCAATTTACACACAGTATTTTAAATATTTTAGCTTGAACAAATATTTTTATCATTTGAAGAACGAAACTTAAACGATGTTATACGACCACATGCAAATGTTTCAAGATCATCAAGAACTTAGCTACTTCCAGTGTGTACTTTTCTTTTAATTTTATATACTTTGATATTGATAGAATATTAAAAAGATTGCTACTGATATGTATTTCTGGCACTACGAATATGTTCTTATCACTTGTCTCGGACATTTGTGCAGAAAAAAATATCCAAAATTGATGAAAATAAATTGATATTTGAAATAATTTCCTCTAAACAACTTGAACTCTGATAATAGAGATAGTGGATCCTAAATCACGTAACGTAATACGAATACCATTTAGTTTTGAATTAGAAAAACGTATCACTAAATATTGAAGACGAGAAATACAGATGGCTCTTTATCATTGAATCGAATGACTTCAGAAATAAAAAGTGTGCCTCATCAAGAGGGACAATTATCTTCTCATGATGAATAATATTCTTTTATAAATTTTCTTACGTGGTTTTTTGTTTCATCTTAGGAAAATATCTTACTGGAATGTAAATGCATAAAAAATAATTAAACGATTAATTTATTCTTCAGTGTACCGTGGTCTTGAAAAAAAATCTATGATAGATCGTTGGATTGTTCTTACTTCAAAGGGTTCTTCCATGATGGATGGGTTGTAGATGGCGCGAATTAAAGAAGAGAAGAACGAATGATAATGCGCACCAATTCTAACTATAATTTCATTTAGTTTGATTTTCAAAAGGATCATAAAAACAAAATGAAATCGCAATTGTCATTTATATCGAAAGAAATATAAGAGATCATTACTCGCCGTTATGCTACTTGAATTGTCGGTCACTTTTCTCTATGAAGCTAAAGGTGATCCCTAATCATTCATACACCATTTGATGCATCTTGAAAAGCTTTACAAGGTATGTCAACAGGAACTTTAACGAAGCTTGGCAGCAGCCATTGTGAACCAAATACTAGTTTTTTTTCCACAGATCGCCGCTATGTCTCCCCAACTGTCAGTCACTTTTTCCCATAAAAATAAAGATGATCCCTAATCATGTATACACCATTCGATGCATCTTGAATAGGTCTACAATATGTGTTAATAGGAATCTTAACGAAGCCTGGCTGCGGCCATTATGAATCAAATACTAGATTTTTCCATATGTCGCCGCTATGCTACTCGAACTGTCGGGCACTTTTCTCTATAAAACTAAAGGTGATCCCTAATCATTCATATACCATTCGATGCGTCTTGAAATGCTCTATAAGATGAGTTAATAGGAACCTTAACGAAGTCTGGCACCAAGTTTTATAAGTTTAATACTAGACTTTTCCATAGGTCGTGGTTATGCCAGGGGAACTTTTGTTTCACTTTTTTCTATCAAATTAAAGAGGATTTCTAGTCATTCATACATAATTCGATGCGCCCCAAAACGCTCTACAATATGTGTTAATAGGAGACTTAATCAAGCTTGGCAGCGGTTTGGGGGTTTTAAATACTGCGCCGAATTGTAACCGAGCCGGCAGACCGGCCGGCCCGGTCCGGTGCCGGTCCTTTCCGGTGTAAAAGTTTAGACCGGCCGGTCCCTTCCGGTCTTTTGCCGGTCTAGAAAGGTTTTCAGATCGACCAGTTTTTGCCGGCTTTGAAATTCTT